CGGCATTGTATTCTGAAAATATGTCATAATAGTGAAAATATGTTTATTAGAGGAAATATATAGTTAAAAAAAACATTAAATAATAATTTAAATGTTGTTTTATAACGTAAGTGTAATCTTCAGTTTTTATGCATCAGTGACAGGCAGTTTTGGCTTTTTTTTTGCTACTAACCTTTACTATTAGGTATCAGATAAACCGTCCTCCAATATCCTCCAAATATTTGATTATGTAAATCGGATGCTTAATGTATCTTAACTGCAATTTATCATAAATATTTTGCAACTTTTTGCAACTAATAAAGTTATAACAAATAACTCATACTAAATTCATAGTATTTATTGGAAAAACACGTTTTTCATAAGTTCTTGAAACTCAAATATTTTTCATGACTTTTTAACTGCAAATTAATTATGCAAGATTTTTTTTACCAAAGGTTTCAATAATAATTTTTTTTTAGTTATATATATGATACTTGTTGATATGGTGTCTTTTTCCCTCCATCCCTCCCCCCCCCCCCTTCCTTTTCCTTCTTAAAAAAATATTTTTATAACCTTTTCAGTATATCTAATGCTTTTACATATAGTGTATGCACAAATAATATTTTACAGACACTTGTCCACAAGATGCAATAACTTCAATTTTGTTTTTAGATGAAATATTTTGATCTTTTCAACTCTTTAAAAGATAATAAAATTTCTATTCAAAGATACTGAGAAATCATATATTCATTTGCTAACATTCTTTGAGTTATCCCTTGATCAGAACAATGAAATTGTTTGGAGATCAAAACTTATGAACATTTTAGCACATCTTAAATATGGCTGGAAAAAAAACAACGCAGAGAATCGTTATTTATTAAGAACAATACTAAATGGCTTGATAATGAAATTAATTTAAATGATTTTGTTGCAGGCAAAATAACCATACCTACAAGTTCTCAATCTACTTCCATCGCTGGTCGACCAACAATTACTGACTTTCAAGAGTGTTCTTCAAGAACTAAGTATCGACGTGTTAGTAAACTCCAAAAAAGTCACTCGTCAAATGAGCTAATATTTGCTTCAAAAGTTTCATTAAATAAAGAAGGAAAAATAGAAAAAGCTAAAGCAATCAAAAAAATATATTTAGATAAGAATGTAGATTCTTCGATGCTTTCTGGAAATGAAGCATTGTCGTTGATGCAAGATTCAAATATGACCAAAGCTGCGTTTCAACTCCATAGAAATGCAGCAATTGAAAAAGAATGCAACCTGTACCCTGCATATAACAATAAAATCATCAAAACTTTTGTGCTACCCTAATAACATGATTTTTACTGACTATACTGCAAGTATACCACTGCAAAGTTTATGTGACCATACAGCTCAAAGACTTTGTCAAGTTCAAAATGAGGTTTTATGTATGCTAGAAACGTTTGACCTGGTATCTCTTCATTATAAAGCAGGTTTTGATGGGTCTACTGGTCAAAGCATATATAAACAAAAAATGTCTGTTGAAAGTTTTCGTGACTTGAAAAGAGAAGAATCATTGTTTCTAACTTGCCTGGTTCCACTTCAGATTACAACTTATGTTAGAGAAACCCTAACTGTCATTTGGAGAAATCCAAAACCTTCTTCCACTTTATATTGTCGACCTTTAAGATTTAAATTTGAAAAAGAAACAACTGATTTATTACTTATTGAAGAAGCTACTTTGAAAGACAAGATCTTAAATCTTGTAGAAACTTTTGTTCAGTTATCTAATGGCAAGTCTATTTCCGTCAAACATATTATTCAAGTTACAATGGTAGATGGTAAAGTCCATACTGCTTTATCAAATGTAACAAGCTCTAGTCAATGTTGCTGTGTTCACCAAAAGACATGAACAATATTGACAAAGTTACGAAACTTCCATACTTACCGGATGATCTTCAATATGGATTATCTACACTTCATGCATGGATAAGATTTTTTGAGTGTCTCATACATATTTCATATAAGATACCAATAAAAAAATGGCAAGCAAGAGGAGACGTAGAGAAATCTCTTGTTAAAAAGCAAAAAATGAAGATACAAAAAGAATTCCAACACAAAATGGGACTTATTGTTGACTACCCAAAATGTGGAGGATCTGGAAACTCAAATGACGGCAATACTGCTAGAAAAGCTTTTTCAAATGAAGACTTGTTTGCTGATATTACAGGAATAAACAAGGAACTAATTGTAAAGTTGCATATAATCCTAATTTGTATATCAAGTGGATTTCAAATAGATACTAGTAAGTTTCGCTTACTTTGTCTGGAGACCGCAAAACTCTACTCATGCTAGTACCATTGGTATTACATGCCTCAGAGTCTTCACAAGATCTTAATTCATGGAGCAGAAGTAATAGAAAATCTATTCTTACCAATAAGTCTATTTAGTAAAGAAGCTCAAGAAGCTAGAAATAAAGAACTTAGAAAATATAGAGAACATCATTCCTGTAAAAATTCAAAAACAAAGACAAACAAAGATGTAATGAAATGGCACCAACATTTTTTTACCTCTTAAACCCATGTATTTTTGCGCTTTGTGAGCTTTTCATTATGAATTTGTTACATTAACGACATTTATATATTTTTTATGTTACACAGGTGATTATCAGTTATCAATTTTTTATCTAGAGTTTAGAACATATATAGTACCACATTTATTAGACACTTGTGTGGTGCGATTATTTTAGTTATGAATACCATTATAAACCAGCAAATTTTTATTGACTTGTTTACTCATAGATCATTATTTCATCATTTGTTAAAAGATGACTGGGGTGTGAGTTTTTATTCCCCTTTTCCTGAGTTGCTAACTTTTACTCTTCCAACTAAATAGTCTTTGCATTAATTTATGTTTTTTTACCTAAATGACATCATCTTCTGTTTTTATTTTCACATCTCCCAGGTCTACGTAACTGGACGGCTCCGTTGGTCACTTTTTGCGATCATTGTGTCGCATAAGCAAAAAATTCAAGAACAAAGACAAACGAAGATGTAATGAAAAGACTTTAATGTACATCTGATCCAGTGATTTCATCTTATAGAAAAACTGTTTCATCTGTAAAAAAGAAATTTCCTCCGGGTGTTGTTGAAATTTTTATTTGCGAAAATTCTACGTTCTAGAATATAGATCTAGTTCATAATTTTTAATGGTAATTAAACTAAAAAATAAACTTTTTTAGCAATATATATGAGCTTGATATTCATTTTATATGGTTTGTATAATTAGTTTATAACAGTTCTAATAAAAAAAATTTAAAATAATTTTGGCACAAAAAACGCGATGTCAATAGTCCTCATATGTATGGGATAAAAAAAAAGTCCCAGACGTTCATCAATATTAAGTGACTGTGATAGGTGAAAGTTGTTGAGACAAGCTTCAAATTCTTCATTAAATGCACGTCAAATTGTTGCAGAAGCAGGTGGGATTACTAATTTACATACAGTTCAGCGAGTTCTTCATAATGCTTTTCACCTTTTGCGCAAAAAACTTCAGTAAAAACCACCTTTGCCATGGAAACCATGGAAAGCAGAATGACAACAAGTAGTATTTTCTGATTTTATCTTGATGGGCCGGATAAATGGAGTCATTATTTTTTACAATTTGTGTAAAGAGACTAGTAACACAGCAACGACGTCAAATGGGTGGAGGTGGTGTAATGATTTGGTGTGCGATTAGGTATCATGATAAATCAAAAATTCATTTTATTGATAGAAAAATGAAGGCTAAGAACTATCTTTGATTTGTTCTGGAACTTTTCAGACGTGAAGCATCTGTAATAGGTGGTGAAAATTTTGTTTTTTAGCAAGATAATGCTAGCGTTCATACAGCTAAGATAGTAAAGAATATTTCAACAGCAGTAAAATTGAAACATTGAAGAGGCCAGCTAGATCTCCAGACCTGAACATTATTGAGAATGCTTCGACACAGCTGCCACATATAGTTTTAGAAGGTGGTAAACAATATAGTTTGCTAGCTGACTTAAAATCATCCATCGCATCTGCATGGGATATGATTGAGATTTCGTACACAAAAAAGTTGTATGATTCTTTATCTTCTAGAATGATTGAAGTGATTCAAAAAAATGATAAAAGTACCCACTATTGATTGCTTAAAATTGAGATGTCTCTTTGTATAAATGACAAACTATATGAATTTTTTACAAAAGTGTCTTATAATTTTGTCACACTAAAAAATGTTTTTTTTTTTAAATAAAATTCGAATTAGGTTTAAAATAAATTTTTTTAAATGTTTAGTCTTGCAACCCTTTTGCTCTCATTTACTATAAAAATTAGTTTTTAAATATAAATGTATAGTAGAATTTTATAAATATTTTTAGGGTGTCTTATCATTTTGTTGCGCAGTATATATCAAAGATTTATAAAATAGTCAAACTATTTAGAAAAACACCACTTAAAGACAATACTGTTAAAAGCATTTTTAAAAAAGACCTAGAGAACTACCTTAGGCCTAATCTGTATATGAAACTCTCGAGTCAGTATGTATATCTTTAAATTGAAATGTTATTGAAAAAAGTTTTGCGGATATCAAGATTTTATTTCTTCTTTTAAGTTTTTATTTTTTTTATTTGCAATACTGTCCTCTATAAAAGCTAAAAGAAGTTTTTAATGATTTTATTTACTATAAAAGCTAAAAGAAATTTTTAATGTTTTTGTTTACTACTAAATTAGAAAGAAGTGTTGACAGAGATGCTATCTATGCTCAATATTATATTAAATTCAAAATGTCTGAAATTTACAACATACCTTGACTAATTAAGTAACTCAGCAACCAAATATAACTCAGTAACCAAATTAAAAAAATTAAATAATTAACCAAGCAATATAAAAAAATAGTTACAGTAACAAATAAAATATTCTAGTAAAGTAGTTACAGGAACAAATAAAAATACTCAAATGATATATAACAATATATTTAACAGAATGATATACTTATAATATATTCAAAGTGTTACTAGAATGAATTACCTTTAACATGACATTTTCAGAAAGTAAGTTTGCAATATCATTTCCTTTTATCTAATGATAACAATAAGCAAAGTATTATAAAAAAACTTTCCTGGTTATTCAATTCTTTATTACTAAAATAACTTCACACATTAATTTAACTAACTTTATCACAATGCATCTCAGAATTGATTTTTGAATTCTTAGAGAATTTATTACAAAAAAATAAAGCTAAAAATTTCAAAATTCAGTTTATTGTGGTTCTAGACATAACACTTTTCAAAGTTTACCACATACTTGGCCCTATTTTGCTGTGACATGACATTTTTGGCACTCTTAAAACTTAGTTAAATGGTTCTAAGCCTGGCTAGTAGTTAAGTTTTGAAACTCTTTGGTAGTTCTCAGAACAGTTAATTCTATCTACAGGTGTAAAATCTGTGCATTAAGAGAGCAATGTCACACATGAAAAGTGTCCCTGTCAATGTTATCAGCGTGCATTGTCTAGGCCACATAAGGAGCCCTTCATAACTTTAGGTTGATAAGCAGAAATAAGGCATCTGCATAACTTATTTCCTAGACGATCATGCATAATCTATAATAGTTCATTTATCTCTCATTTATCCTTATATGAATACAGTTGTCATATATATGCTGGTTCATCTAATGAAACTCTTATTTAGATGTCTAAACCCCTTGTTCTATCAACCAAAACTTAATCCTGAGTGACTTGTTATTCAGTAAAGTTTTACTGTTTTACTCTTTATGTTCCTTCAATCTTGAAAAACTTTTATTCATCAATTATCACTTGGTTTTTAAAACTTTTTAGAAATGTTTAATATTCTAATATACTTAACCTTTCACTTATTTGTGAAAAACTAATTGTATCAGACACAGGATTAAAGTTATAAAAATCTCTTGTACTTAAGTCTTTTTAAATTAAACGCAAAACTAAAAAAAATTCAAAAACTTTATTAAACACTTTTTTATTCACAATTGATCTTATTTAACTTTATCTTGATCACTTGTTGCTAATTTGATAAATCAGTTTTATCAGTCGTTAAAAACCTTTCTATTATCAATAACAATTAGCTGCTGACTGCATAAATAATTCAGTTCTATCAGTAATTTTCCATTGGTTAATTAATTTCTACCATCAATACCAATTAGTTGTAAATCAAGAAAAAAAAACAATGAAAAACCAAATTTTTTGTTTAGAAGTTTTTCATTTTGTTTTGTCATAGTACTCAACAGCATACTTTCTGGAACAAGACTATGGATTCAGTGTTAACACTTAAACCTGCGTCCATTTATTTGAGTTTATTCATTTTACTATGAAAAATTTAGTAAGTTAATTACATTGATTTTAATCACTTACAATTTTTAAGAATCAAACACTTTATGTTTTAGTATCACAGACACTAAGAGATTTGCTTGCATGCTTTTATTGTTGTCATTTTTTGTACTTTTATTAAAGATAAAAGTCAAAAAGACCACTCATTTATTTGTGTTGCTTTAAAAATTAAATACATAAAAATTATAAAATAATCTTCAAACCAACACTAATCAAATGTTTTTAATTTGTTTTTCCTTCTGGCTTGTCATGTCTATAAAAAATACTATTTAAAAATTTACCAAAATTGTCTTAAAAATTTTTCCTTCAAAACTAATTAAACTTTTTGACATTCAAAACATTCTAACAACTTTTAAATCACAAGTAAATTTTAAATTACTTTTTAATCACTACATGTAAACATCTACAATTCAAGAAGATTAAAATTATTTTTGCTTAATTTCATATTTTTAAATCAATTTTTTACAAGATTAAAGATGATTCAACTTTTTAAAAATTTTATTAAATAAATTGCAAATTATTTTTGGCTTGTTTATCAAGTTCACGCTTTTATAGTCAAATGTGGATTTTATTGACAATCCTGAGATGAGTGTGATATCTGGGATTGTGAAAATATAGATTTAACAAATTAAAAAAACGATGCAAGTAAAAAAAAAGATAAAAATTGGAAACATTTCAACAAATTTTATTTTATTTAAAAATTTTAAAATTTCATTTTATTTAAAAAACCGAAAATATTTTAGCATATTTTAAAGCAAATCAATCAAAAATCAAGAAAAAAAAAAAAAGGAAATAAAGAGCACCCTGTTTTCCTCCTTTATTTTCATAAGTTCTTTGTTAGCATTGTCAAGTTGTTTGCTAATAATATTCTTTTCCTACAGAAAAAAAAATTTATGTTTATTTTGTTCTATATAATTATTTGTTACCATTTTGTAACAAGTGCAAAATTGTTATTTTAATTTTTGAATCATAATGTCATGCATTTCAAATAAAATGTAAAAAATACACATTTTAAATAACACAAGTAAAAATGAAACATTTTAATTAACTATTCTCTTGTAAAAAAGTACATATATCAGGGTGCAACAAATTGTTTTTTTTTTTTTTTAAATAAACGAATATTGTCATAGAAATCGTGATAATCTGAAGGCAGGGTAGTTTTCAAATTTTGAAATTTCTGTTTTTAATTTTCAATCTTTTGGAGTACAGATTAGGCAACTGTTTAATATCCTTAGTGGTAATAAGCTTGTCATGACGCTGCGGTAGCAACAGCCACTCATCTATAAACCTTAGCTTATACTAGATGTTGCCATCCATCTTATATTGTAAGCCACGAATGTCAGTTACCTTAAAAACTATTTTCTGTTTATAATAAATTCAAATACCTTTAAGTAAAAAAAATCCAATGACTTAAAGAAAAATGTAAATGTTTGATAACTTGGGGTTCTTTTCATTTTTCCAGGCCTTATAGATTGTTAAAATTTGATTGAATCAAGTGATTTGAAAAATGAATGCGTCAGGTAAAAAACATCATAAGGTTCTGGTTTTTTCCAAGCATTTCTACAAAATACGTAGTGTTCTACAGGTACATTAATAACTTTATTTTATAGATTTTTTTATATACATGCATGCATGCATGAGTTAGCCTCTATTTGGGTGTGAAAAACCTCTAAATACTTCTGTTCAATGTTTATTTGCTTTGAAATAGCTATATTCATCAAAACATTAGACAATATTGAATTTCTATTTTGTGACACGCAACTATCACAACATAAAATCAATTTAATATTGTTTTGCCTGTTGAGTCTCGAAAGAAAATTCTGGATAATAAATTTTTCCACTATGCTTGCATATTCTTCAGCATTTAGTCCTCCCTCAATTTCATTCCACAAGTAACAGTATCTGGCTTTTGTTGTAAGAACAAATAAACAAAAGTTATGAACACATAGCTTCGTTTTATAATATAGAATAGAAACATTTGACTTAGGCGCAAGCAAAACTGCTTGTACATCAATTGTAAAAACAAATTTTTTCTGTTCTTTGTCTTTCAAAATCTGTTTTTCAATTCGTGCTTTATTTTTTCTTTTTATGTGTTGGTTGTGGTCTAATTTTGATATATAGCCAAGCTTGTGTGGTAAACATTTTTCACATAAATCCTTTTTAGGGTGGAATAGAGCAAGATTTTATGTCTCCATGGTGTTGTTGACTCTTGCTACAGACAAATGGGCAATGTTGTTTGATAAACACCATTCTGACACATAAAAATTATAAAGAGATTTTTTTGTAGATAATTCGGGTAAAATGCATTTTTTAGAAGTTGATTTGCGACAGTAATGTGATTCCATTTTTGGCAAACGTTAGAAAAAATCTCTGAGTCAATCTAAATAAAATGAAATAGATTCTCTCTAGCCTTCGGTGATTCTACCAATTATACTGTTTGGTTGACAATTGACCTTGATTGTTTTAAACCCCACACGGATGATTTTCCAATACACAGAGTGCTTAAGAAAATTGTCATTGTACAGAAACTGCATAATTTTTCTTCTTTCCTTAAATAATACTCAATTGAGCTAGTCTTTTGGATTTTAAAGCATCCTTTCTGTCTCTCAGTTTCTTTGTATTAAAGCATTTGGCAAGACAATCAACATACACCTTCTTTTCTCCCTAAGTCATCTTCTAAAAACTTACAAAAATTTCCATTTGATCTGTGTCTAAAATTTCCAAACATTGAAAGGCAGATTTTTTGTTTGCATTTACACCTTGGTGTCAGCCTTTTTGCACTTTTACATCAGTGATTACTTTATTAACTATTCTTTTGCAACAAAAATTTTTTGCCCCTTTTGGCAAAATTGTTCTTAATTTACAAAATTTATTATTTTACAAAATTATTACAAAATTCTGATCTTTCCATTTGGATCTGTCAACTGTGGATGCTCAGAATATGGAATCAAGGGAGCATTATAATCTTTTTCATCGCTTATGCCATTGTTTATCAATGGGGAGCTATTAACTATACCGCAAGAAATTTGTGGATCCTGACTTGTGACAAGGTACTTGTGGATCCTGACTTAGCACAAGAGCTTGACTGGAGACTCCAATCCCACTTGTGGGTGTGTCAAGCCTTGGAAAAATATCCTCAGCAAAAACAGTAGTTTAACTTGAATAAAATCTTTATCAAAGATTAAAATTGTTTTGATAGAACTGTCTTGATGCAAATTTGAAAAATCAATCTGCATTTCTCCACTACAACTACCAATGTCTTGGGTAAATAGTATTCTAAAAAATCAAGTATATTTAATCATTTCAAGAAATTCATGTACTCAAGATTCATGTATTCATGTATTAAAAATAACTACAATACGACCGAATACAGTGTTAATAAACATAAGGAGTTAATTCTGAAAATAAATAAAAGAACAAAACAGGTAACTGCAACATAATAATTCACAACTTCATTATGCAAATAAGCTAACTCCATTGGTAACAAAATAATTATCAAGTTAAGTTTAACTGTTTTTGGAAACAAATATGCCTCAAAAAGTTAAAAAGTGTCTTACCTTGCATTGATTCAGGTCTTTACATAAATTGAAAACTTCAAATTTATTTTAGATTAAGAAAAGCAGGAGCTTTTGAAAATGACTCCACCATCTGACACTTCACAATACAAAATGGCCAAATTGGCAAGAGTTAGCTGGATTGGTGAAACGTTTTTTGTAAACCTGAAATTGGCTAGTATGTGTGCAGGTGATTAAACGTATTTATAATTTTATTTGAATTATGGCCATTTTGTATATCATAGAAAATTTCAAGATCAACAAAATGGCATCAAATTCGGGATTTGGACCAAACATGGAGTTGGCTTGTTTGCAGATTAAGCCATCGATATGTCAAATAAACCAGTTTTATTTTCAATTCTTTCAATTTTTATTTTTTTTTATTCAAATAATTTTTTATTAAATTATAAGGGAGTTTTATATTAAATTAGAAGAGAGTTCAAATAACTTTTATTCTAGTTATTAAGTTATTACATCAAAAATACTTATTGAATTTTATATTAATTATAATTAAACTATATAATATTGCTGAACTTGATAATAGTAGTGCCTTTTTGAGCGTGTTTGACACAAAAATCTTAGCAGCCATTGCAAGCGAGGTAATAGCAAGAAAGACTTGCTGCACTTTATTTTATAAAAAAATGGGAACGAAAGTGTATGCAAATATCCAATGTTCATAAACTTTAAATTATGTAATGTTAAAACATACTTAAACATATATCAAGTTTTACAGTTTGACTTTCGCTTGAAAATTGCATTGCATCAACCTCTCCTTTATTTTAATCTATAACATTTACTTTCAGTATTAACTTTTATTAAAATTATAATATAGTTTTAAAACTTTGTACATCTATGTGCCAGCATGGCCGAGTGGTTGGAGCGCAGAGCTTCTGAACAGAAAAGCCATGGTTCAAGTCCTGCCATTGCTGCCATGGCAACTATTTTTTTTAAAAAGATTTTTAAGATTTAATTAAATACTTGTGAAGTTTTATATTGTTAAAGGAAAAAAGGAAAATAATTATGAAAATAACAAAGAAAAATAATAACGGTACAATATTTATTTATATAATCCATTTATTTAATTATAAAATGCAAAAACTTACAATAATATTTTATAAACTCACATAAATAAGGTTAGGTGGTTTGGTTAAAAAAAAATTAAAAAATAGTACTACTCATTACTACTAATACTCATTTTAAACTCAACTTAAAAATAATTTTTCATCTTTTTCACAAGAAAAGATGAAACTCTAGAGAATTTCTTTTTATTAATGCTAAAAACTGACACTTTTTTGGTATCAGACAGTTTTTAGCAATAAAAAAACACAATGTCATTAATAAAAGCAAGCATTTAATTTCTCATTCAGAACTATTTGCAAACAACTTTTCTTTTAACCCTCTTAATCTCTTGAATCTAATGACTCTTCTTATTATCCCATTCACTTTAGTTCACTGCTAGATATCTACGCCACTCTTGCTTCTTTTATTTCTCACCTAGGAAGTTTTAATTAGAGATTATATACTAACATATGCAACAATATTTTACACTTTAATAAAGCTAAAAATTCTAAAAACATTAAACAACAGGGGGAAACTTGTTGCGCATGCGTCATGATTGAGATACTTGTTATTTTAGTTTTACAATTCAAATTATTTTACAACTATGTTGAGTTCGGGCAAGAATGATGAGTATACAACATGTTGATAAATAGAATATAAAATCTATAGAACTGTAAAGTTCTTTTGTTTTAGCATTTTAAATAACAAAAATTTAAAAAAAAAGCAAGCTGATGATTTGAACTTTTCATGCAGCAGTTTAAAAAGTATGTTTTTAATAAGAACATAATTGAAAATTCTTATTTATATTTAAATTAAACCATTTTATTAAATTTATTTCTTTTAAATATAATTAAAAGTTAAAATTATTTAATATTGATATAATAATAAAATTTAGAGTTTTACAGCTATTTTATCACGCCTCCAATAAACATTCTAAACCGAGTGCGCAACAACGACAGAATTTAGATAACCATTAAAATAGTATACTTATTATTTTTTGGCCTAACCTTTAGATTAGAGATGGTCCATAAATTACGCAACAAAAAATTTCACTAATGAAAAGATCAGAATTTTCCCTCTCAGAGTAATAAGTTAAATAAAAAAATATAATAGCTCATTAAGTTTAAAGAAAATAGTTACCTAAAAGAACTTAAGATCTCCTTTTTTAAAAATAAATTTAGCATTGCATAAATTATGGACGATCCTTAAAGTGTTTTATAGTCTATAGTTTTTAATGGTCTTAGATCTTCTTAGTTATGCCA